AAAACCGTAATATTTTTAATTTTTTATGTTTGTTACCGCATAACTTTGAACCACGTCAACCGATTTCTATAAATCTTTTTTAAAGGAAAGGTGGTACCTCCGAGATGGTCCCATACTAATTTGGTTTAGAACCGATTATTGGATTATGAAGAAAATAACTTTAATCTTAAATTTGTATATGAGAACTGAAGTCGGTTTCGTTTTTTGCTTAAAAATTACTTGTTTTTTAATTACAGCACAGAGTTTGAAACTTGGATTTATACGGTTTTTGTTAAAGAATTAACTATATTTTTATAAAAAATAACTAAAATTTAATTAAAAAAAAAAACAACTTGACATTAGTGGTGCGGCTATAATTTTTCGACCATTTTATGTACATATGTATGTACATATCAGTGAAGGAAATATACCAACATCGAACTTTTGACACAATCAGCTCAATTTTGGCACCCTTTGGCTTCCTCTATCCCTCTTTTGCAATGGACCTAATTGACAATTTTGAAGAAATGTGCGTGAAGACGCACCATCACACTACAGTACAAAGCGATATCTTGAAAAATACATGGTTTATTGGCATTTGTAGAATAGCTCTGGACTCAATTACAATTCTCATTTTAAAATAGTTTTAAGTTGAATTTCTTTGAAACGTCCTTATCAGAACGGGGACAGTTTGATAATTCGGTAAATACTTTATTAAAAGGGATTTACTTTTTTGGACAAAAAGCGCTCTATTTGTCAACTACGGTATACATTTAGTTCAGTATTTTTTTTTATAATAAAAAAATAATATGTATGTAACGTCTGTGCACTTTTGTTAAGTGTTTTTTCGAGCTTCTGCTCCAATTTGTTTATTCGCTCCAAATATTAGATTTCCTACGGATCCCCTCACTGGTACATACATAAATGCACGTGTCAATACGTCTATATACATAGTTACATATGTGCTATGTATTTGCACTTAAAGTATGTCAAAGCAAACAAAATCAAATCAAAAAGCAACCAAAAGGTCATTGGCAATGAGAAAACAACAGAAAACGACACAAGCAGATTATCAAAATGTCAACCTAAGTAGTACATCTAGTTTTCTACCAGGTCTTCCAAGAATACGAAGAGATATTTGAAGAATAAAAATACTATTTCTAGACAAATGCAAACCGAGATGACACATAATTGAAATGAAGCGCTAACTAGCATCCCACCTCCCCCCCGCCCCCTTCTTAAACAACTGGTTAAGCAGGTCTTAAAGTCACAAGATGCCGCTAACGTGGAGGGCTAGGCAGCTACAAAAGCTTTGCTCAATGAGTGAGCATGTGGGTACATTGAACTGCCCGTCGATGAATGCATCAAATTATGAATTGTCTGACCGCAAATATTGGTCAACATTATTTATTTTGCCATCTGCTTTGCGGTAAATCCCAACTTTCTAATTTCTCAATTAAATACTGTGTTATTTTTATGTGTTTTAATTTTTTAATTACGTTGATGAATCTTAAAATGTTAGTACAATGTGATAAATGCAAAGTTTCATTTCTTAATGCAATAAGGAATTCTTAAATCTGGCGAAGTTTTCTTTTGGCAAACTCAAAAGTGTTGAGAAACTATTAAGTTTTAATTTATGTAAATATTTAAGCCTTTTAACTTTTCTTTTTCTTTTTGCTATAACACTGATAAAATTGCTTTTCGTTTTTAATTATTTTTATTGTATAATCTCAACTCTCGCATTATGCAAATGTTAACATTTCTTATTTC